CCGCTGCTAATTCCTGTGGTAGCTCCAACTCATAAGCTACTTTGTCAATCTTTTTCGATATTTTGTAAGGGCCAATATACCGGGGACTAAGCTTCCCCTTCTTACCAAATCTCATAGCACTCTTCATGGGTGAAACCTTCAAGTATACCCAATCATCTACTTCAAACTCTAACTCCCTTCTCCTAATATCATTGTAGGATTTCTGACGAATTTGCGCCGTTTTCAACCTCTCTTGAATCACTTTCACCTTCTCCGTAGCTTGATGAACTAAATCTGGTCTTATCAACCTTGCTTCACCAACTTCAAACCATCCAATAAGAGATCTGCATCTTCTCCCATAAAGAGCTTCATATGGAGCCATTTGGATGCTAGAGTGGTAACTATTGGTGTAAGCAAAATCAATAAGAGGTAGGTGATCATCCAAATTACCTTGAAATCAATCACACAAGCCCTCAACATATCCTCTAAGGTCTGAATAGTGCGCTCTGCTTGACAATCTGTCTGAGGATGAAAAATAGTACTTAAGTTCACCTGTGAACCCAAGCCTTTTTGGAATGACTTCCAAAATTGTGCAGTAAATTGTGCACCTCTATCTAATATAATTGAAACAGGGAATCCATGAAGTCTTATTACCTCCTGAATATATAACCTGACATAATCCTCTGTTGAATGGATAGTCTTTACCGGCAAAAAGTGGGCTGATTTGGTCATTCGATCCATAATTACCCAAATAGAATCATGCTGCTTGCGAGAACTAGGCAAACCTGTGATGAAATCCTTATTGATCATCTCCCACTTCCATTCTGGATGTACTATATTATGATCCATACCACCGGGCCTTTGGTGCTCTACTTTAACTTGTTGAAAATTCAGACACTTAGCAACAAACTCTGCAATGCCCTTCTTCGTACTACTCCACAAATGGGCCCATGAAATTGACCCCCCAAATATCAAACAACTCCACCTCTAGAATAGGTGTCATGGGTAACTCATGGCGCCGACAGATGGCTCCTTGCCGCTGGCACACATCACAACTCCTTACTATGTCCATCGCATCCTGATGAATTGTGGGCTAGTAGTGCCCACACTGAAGTATCTTGTGGGCTGTCCGAGCACCTCCATAATGGCCACCTACTGGAGAGGAGTGGCAGGCCTCTAGATTGTGCAACATCTCAGCTTCAGGAATGCATCGCCTGATGATGTTATCAGCACACACCCTGTACAGATGAGGTTTATCTCAAAAATACTTACCCACATCATGCAGGAACCTCTTCCTTTGCTGAAATGTCATCCCCTCAGGCATCAAATGTCTAACAAGAAAGTTAGCAAAATCAGCAAACCAAGGAATAAGATCAAGAGTAGCGGCTAGTACCTTCTCATCCGGGAACAAATCATTTATTTCGAGCTTGAGTTCCTCTTTATTTTTAGCCTCCAACCTAGACAGATGATCAGCTACCTGGTTCTCACAACCTTTCCTATCTTTAACCTCAAAATCAAACTCCTGAAGAAGCAACACCCATCTGATCAACCGTGTCTTGGCATCTTTTTTTGCCATGAGGTATCTCAGAGCTACATGATTTGTATGGACTATCACTCTAGTACCCAGCAAGTAAGCTCTGAATTTATCGAAAGCATACACCACCGCCAGTAGTTCATGTTTCGTTGTGCTCCATTTAGTGACTTACTAACATAGTAAATCGGATGAAACATCTTGTTGTGCTTCTGCCCCAACACAATTCCTAAAGCAATACCACTAGCATTGCACATTACCTCAAATGGCTCATCCCAATCTGGGCCAATGATCACTGGGGCAGAAATCAGCTTCTCTTTTAGGCATTCAAAGGCTATCAGACATGCCTCATCAAAAACAAATTTCATTTCCTTCTCTAAAAGCTTGCACATGGGGTGTGCAATTTTCGAGAAGTCCTTGATGAACCGCCTATAGAATCTGGCATGTCCTAAGAAACTTCGAACACCCTTCACACAGATAGGCGGAGGCAACTTTTGAATCACCTCAACTTTGGCCTTGTCGACCTTCAACCCCTTTTGTGACACCTTGTGCCCAAGGACTATACCTTCCTTGACCATGAAATGGCATTTCTCCCAATTCATTGGCCTCATCGCATCTCTGTAGGACCTCACTAAGATTAAGCAAACAGTCATCAAAGGTTTCACCTACCGCTGAAAAGTCATCCATGAAGACCTCCAGAGTGTCCTCCATCATGTCTGAGAAGATTGACATCATACACCTCTAGAAAGTTGCTCGTGCATTACATATCCCAAATGGCATGCGTGTAAACGCAAAGGTGCCATAAGGACATGTAAATGTGGTCTTTTCCTGATCTTCAAGAGCAATTGATATCTGGTTGTAGCCAGAGTATCCAACTAAGAAGTAGTACCACCATTTTCCAGCCAACCTGTCAAGCATCTGCTCCATGAAAGGCATCGGGAAGTGATCCTTCAAGGTCCATTTGTTCAGCTTCATGTAGTCCACGCACACTCGCCATCCAGTGACTGGTCTCTGAGGGACCAACTCATTCTTTGCATTCGTAACCACAGTCATACCACCCTTTTTGGGCACACATTGCACTGGGCTAACCCAGTGACTGTTAGAAATGGGGTACACCGCCCGAGCATCTAACCACTTGATGATCTCCATGTTGACCACCTGTTGCATAGGTGAGTTTAACCTCTGCTAGTGTTCAATGCTTAGGCTGCAGTCTTCCTCAAGTTGAATCTTATGGGTGCATATACCCGAAGGTAGCTCGATGATGTCAGCAATGGTCCACCCAATAGCCCTTTTTTACCTTATCAACACTTTGATCACAACTTGAACCTGTTCCATATTCAAATCTGCAGCCAAAATCATAGGTAAAGTGTTGTTAGTGCCCAAAAGTACATACCTCAGGTGACTGGGTAACTGTTTCAGTTCCAGCACACAGGTGGCTCCTCAATATATGATTTCACCGAAGGACATGACCTGTTTTTCAAATCCAAGTCCAGTGTTTTTGGAGCATAAGAGTGTGCTCCTATTCCCTACAAAGAATTCATGGTTTCTACATAGTCAGACCGAAAATTAGCTTCAAAATTCATCAGCACGGCAGCTAAGGTTTCAACAGCCAACCTCTCCTCAATGGTTTCTCCCATTTCTTCTTTATAAAAAACCTTTATCGCAGACACCACATTCATGTCATGTGGCTGTTTCATTGACCTGCAAATATTAAACTTTACCTCTTCTTTGTTGAGTCTGAACTTCAGTTCTCCTCTCTCAACATTTACCAATGCTCGTCCTGTGGCCAGAAATGGTCTTCCAAAATAATGGGAACCTCAAAATCCACTTCGCAATCCAAGATCACGAAGTCTACCGAAAAGATAAACGCGTCCACCTTTACGAGCACATCACATAGAATGCCCACAGGTCGCTTCACTGACCTATCTGCCATCATCAACCTCATTGGTGTGGGTTTAGGAACTCCTAACCCCAGTTTCTTGTAGATGGCCAGCGGCATCAAGTTTATACTGTCCCCTAAATCACACAAGGCCTTTGAAAATTCAATTGATCCTATGGTGCACGGTATGGTAAATGCACTTGAATCCTCTTTCTTCTGTACCAGAGACCTGGTAGCAATAGCGCTGCAGTGATGAACATTGTCAGTCAAATCAATACTTACAGCTCTTTCTTTGTGACCAAGTCTTTCATGAACTTGGCATATCCTGACATCTTCTCTAGTGCTTCCACCAGTGGGATATTTACTGATAGTTGTCTCAGCATGGTGATGAATCAAGCAAATTTCATCCTAGGCTTTCTTTCTGAGCCTTTGAGAGAAAGGAGGAGGTGGTCTTAGGATTTGTTGTAAAGGCGTAGTTCCCTCAACCTCTTTTTCTTTTTCTCTTGCTAGTTTTGTTATTGGTTGAGCATCTTCCAAGTCATCTACTTGTTCAGCTTCATCCTCCTCTCTTCCAACTTTCTCCAACACCTGCTCATGTTTAGTACCTGCAGAAATTAGGTCATTAAGAATATTACCACTCCTGGTGGTGATAGCCATGTAATGCCTATCCTTCTTAGGATTTTGGATCGTGTCACTTGGTAGTGACCCATTCTTCCTCTGATTCAATGAGGCTGAAAGTTGCCCCAACTGCTGCTCAATTTGCTTGATGGAGGTGGTGTGAGAGTCTACTAGTTGACTCATACGGGAGAAATCACCTTTCATCTCCTTCACCCTTGCATTAGTTGATTCAACTTTTTGGAGCACCGTGGCCAACATGTCTTCCAGCTTAGACCCCCTGGAACTACTATTTGCCCGGTCTCTATTACCTGGGGGCACATACACACCACTGCTATTATTTTTGTACCCATATCTATTCTGCCAATTTCCTTACTTTCTGTTTGCTGGCCTATCATACTGCCTTCCCTTGAGTAGTCCGACTTCCATTTCCAAAATTGAAACCCTGGTTTCCCGAGTTATAATTCTGGATACCTCCATGGTTGCCTAGGTAATTGGCCTCCTCATCTAGATCAATATCCTGATCTTCATACATGTTTGGCTGTCCCACAACATTTACCTTTTAAGACTTTGAGACAGTATGCTTCGTAAGTAGATCTATTTGGGTCCTCATGTGTGCCATGTCTTGATCCTTTTCTTCTTCTCTTTTCCTTTGTTCAGCTGAAAGTTCAAATGTGTACCCAAGATCTCCTACTTCTACATCCCTGGTGTACCATGCCATGTTATTCTTTGACACCTCGTCCATCAGTTGCATGCTCTCTGAGAATGGCTTCCTCATAAATGATTCTCCACACACTGCATCAGTAACATGTTTAGTAACATAATTCAAAGATCTATAGAAAGACTGTTTTAGATGTCTCTCAGTGAGACCATGGTTTGGGCACTTCTTCAGCTTTTGGCTGAATCTCCATCAAGTGTCATGCATCGCTTCTCCTGGTAGCTGCTTATGGGCACTTATCTCATCCTTCATCTGCAGCTCTTTTGATTCCAGAAAGAATCATTCCAGGAAGGCCTCCTTCAACTCAGTCCAAGTCCTATTTGAGTCATCCAGCATCTCATTTAACCAGTTGGTTGCCTGTCTGGTAAGAGACAATGGAAATAACCTCAATCTCATCGTTGTTTGGCTAACTCCAGGAATTTCTTGCGATTTGCAAATCGCCCCAAAGTTCATCAGATGTTGATTAGCATCATCACCAGGTACACTCCTGAACATACCTTTCAGATTCAACAGTTGAATCATAGTGCTGGTGATTGTGAATTTCACACCTGGAGGTAGTGCAGGTAACCACTACAGGAAAAGTGTGAATTACATGGGAATTTTCTTGGGGATTAGTATGAAAATTCCCAAGAAAATTATTTTCCTACAAATTGTCATACTAATGCCCAAGAAAATCCCCATGTAATTCACCTTTTTCTTGTAGTGAACGGTATCGCTCTTGTGGCTCCTGCTCTATCCAAGTCTAGGTCATCCTCTTCATACATCATGTGAGCTGGATAATGTGCTCGACCCCATGGAGCTAGTGGTTAGCGGTGGGTAGGAATTATATCTTTCACTCTTGGTTGTTCATCCATCACCCTAGGTGGGTTATTCACAGCATTCTGCTGAATAACTCTTGCAGCAGTTTCAGCCTCCAATCCCAATCTTTGCCTCTGAGCCTCAAGTTCTTGTGGATTCACCATTTTTCGAATAGTCTTTCAAAGTACTGAGTCGTAAGGAATCAATGGAGCTCCTTTACTTCTAGTATTTGGCATACACAATCGAACTCACCTGAAATAGACACAGACAAAGAACAAGATGTAAAATTAGGAAATATAACTACAACTTGAATAAAAGCTAGAAAAACATTTCTGAATTGAAATTCCCCGGCAGCGACGCCAAAATTTAACATGTCCAAACTTACACCTCAATTAAGAGATATAAACGGTCGAAGTCAATTTATAGAACTCAACGTGAGTTGAGGTAAAAGTTTTACTCAAATGTCGTTATTATTTCCTAAAGAAACAATTACAGAAAGTAAAATTGGGTTTAGCTATTGATGCTTATTGTGACCAACGACACTATTCTACGGTATAAGTGTCTACGATCATCGATAATATAGTAACCCAACCAAGGGTTGGGGTCGTGTCCCAAGGGAGCGGTTTTGAGAATTGATAGAAAAATAGAATTTACATTCTAACTAGTCGTAGCTAAAAGATATTAACGAACAAAAAACCATAGTAAATAAAATGGGGTGACACAAAATTGTCAAATATCAAAAGGGGGTTTTGTAACAAATACTAAAACAGCAAAATAAACAAGAAAATCAAGTATGGGGAAAGGTTCTTGGGATGTGACCGCAATACAAGTTGAGATAAATTGTTGGGTACATGCTTTCGATAGGACATTTGCAAAATAATAGTTACTAGGCTAAGCTTTAAATGGAAATAAGTTCCCTCTCGGGCAACTTACCCCGTTTCAAATGAGTTCCTCTCTATCACGACCCGAGATCACCCCCTAGTCGTAACCGGCGTACTCGACCTCGAAGAGCTCTAATACAAGCCTCTTAGCATTCATTCATCGCATAGACACTAAAAACCATAAGGAATTTAAAACTTTCTTTAACAAGAAAACAATTGCATAAAAAAAATAATAGCAAGCAGAAGACTTTCTAGACTTTATACATGATGTCTCAAAACCATCTAATACTTTAGAGTACAAAATTTGGGACTAATCCTGTACACAACTTAAATAATACTTAAAAGACATAAAAGAACATATTGGGTATTGTCCTCGAATCTATGAGGACTCACCAAGTCTTCATCTCCAACACTTAGAAACCTATCAAGTAGCCATGACATGTCACCATCTCCAAATCCCTAAACTTTAGTCCAAAAAGGGAAAGAAAGGGATTAGCACAATTAAGTACTAAGTATGGAGACCATGCAAAAACATGCCAAAAAGGACATTTTCAAGGAAGTAAATGCTTTCATATCATTTAATAAAACCTTTCATTTACAAGTATAAGAGACATAATACAAGTCAACATTAACATATAAGACCATAGCCAAGCACACACATACTTAACATAAGTCCATACACAACCCATGCTTAGCTTTAAAAGAACACATGTCATTTCATTACCATAAGACCTCTACCTAATATAACCTTAAGACACACTTGAGTGAGACAAGAAGGGACCGCCCATACAACCTCTTCAAGCACACTTAAGTGTTCCCCAAGATTACCTTAGATAAGGACATTTCATTTACAACATAACTTCAATAGACCAACATTCTTTAAGAAACCATTTTGGAGACATTCAAGCACATAAGGGGACTTTCACATAATAGTCGTTAGACTTAGGGAACTCACTTTAGTATCTTCAAAGCCTACTCGTGCCATGTGTAGATAGCATCCCATACTACTACCTACACGTTGTAGAACCTATCCAATAACTAGAGTGCACATCCCACATAATGGGAATAGGCATAACCGACATAGACCATACTAGCTAGGCATAGAATCCGGAGTCTTTCCTACTCCGTGGAGGCTGTTCTACTTGCCAAGGGTAGAACTAGGACACATCCCATGTAGGCACATGGTTTAGGGGATGTCCAAGGAAGTTCATTGTGCCTAATCTCATACTCAACTAGGCCACCTTCCTAACCACATCCACTCGGTGCTAGCCTTGTTTCCCATAGAGTATTCAATCACATATGTACTTAGAGAAGGTTCCTTTTCTAGTTCAACCAACTCATAGTACCTCTTCCCAAGAAAGGCCCCATTTCTTAGTCATGGCCAATCAAGGTTCATAAGGATAGCTCATTAAATCCCCCTAGAAGGGTGCCTTAGGCCTACCGATCCAAGGTTCATCATTTCACACATGAGAAGGGCTACCACCATTAGGTCTACCGATTTCATGGTTTTACATTTACTTAGGAAAGCTAGACTTATGAAAGGGCACCATTTCTTAGTTTTGCCCATTTCACACATTCATGCATTCAAGACTTTAAGTAACAAGGAGGGACACTTTAGTCTACCAACCAAGTCACAACATTTTCATTTAAGGATACTTCATAATCCAACATCATTTCATATATACATCATGAGAAATCATACTTTAACTCACAATGCTATCCACTTTACATAGGATCATCACAAGATCACATAAAACTCATTCACACCATTCCTTCACATATAGCTTCACATAAAACTCATTCACATCATTCCTTCACATATAGCTTCACATAAAACTCATTCACATCATTCCTTCACATATAGCTTCACATAAAACTCATTCACATCATTCCTTCACATATAGCTTCACATAAAACTCATTCACATCATTCCTTCACATATAGCTTCACATAAAACTCATTCACATCATTCCTTCACATATAGCTTCACATAAAACTCATTCACATCATTCCTTCACATATAGCTTCACATAAAACTCATTCACATCATTCCTTCACATATAGCTTCACATAAAACTCATTCACATCATTCCTTCACATATAGCTTCACATAAAACTCATTCACATCATTCCTTCACATATAGCTTCACATAAAACTCATTCACATCATTCCTTCACATATAGCTTCACATAAAACTCATTCACATCATTCCTTCACATATAGCTTCACATAAAACTCATTCACATCATTCCTTCACATATAGCTTCACATAAAACTCATTCACATCATTCCTTCACATATAGCTTCACATAAAACTCATTCACATCATTCCTTCACATATAGCTTCACATAAAACTCATTCACATCATT